CCTTCAGAAATTCATAAAGAGTAACAAAACAAAAAATAAACACAATTTATAATTCCATTATAAGTGGGAGATAAGAAAATTATTATCTGAATTTTTTGTAAGTGAGGTAATATCTAGGACCAACATAATCCAGTTTGAATCCAGACCTGTGCAAGGGATAAGAAGTAGAGGTGCCCAAGTGATGGCAGACCCCATGTATCGGCAACAAGGTTTTATTCCAGAAAGAGAGAATATCCTGAGTAGGATGATAGAACTAAAATCAAATATATTAGTTGAATTAATAAACACAGTGGTTATAGCTTATATGAGAAATAAACCATTTTAATTTAGAGCAAAAATAAAATCTAAATCTATACTGTATAAAAGTAAATGTCTAAACTTGATTCAAAAGGTTAAAAACAAAAAAGATGGCCAGGTAGGCAAACACAAATAAAAATAAACCATATTAGACAAGGTAGAATTTCGTTTCAAAGGCATTAAAAAGAAAATGAAGGAAACATAATAGTCAAAGCTAAAATGGCAGCAACTTTCATAAAACAGACACCAAAGGATTTACCAAAAAATAGGGTGATTAATAACAGGCAAATTCACAATAACTCAACTTCTTCAGTCCAAAGTAATTCAAGCAAACAGAACACCTTTAAAAAAAATCAGTAACGTAGATCGTATACATACAAAATATACTCTTTAACCCAATAATAAAAAATCCTGTCTTGTTTTCAAGTACACCTAAAGCATTCATGAAAATTGACCACATATTAGATTAGCAAGAGAGCCAAAATAATTTCTAGAAACAGAAATAGCACAAAAATTATTCTCTGGCTATAATGCAATAAAACTAAAAAGAATCACCAAAAAATGATCTTTATATGGAAATTTTAAATCTTAGGTTAAAGATTTGTTAAAACACTAAAATTATAAAAATGATGAAAATATCTACATGTCAGAAGTTAGAGAAAAATCTATAGATTTAAGTATTTACGTCAATAAGATTGAAAAAAAGTTTAAATAATTAAATATGTAACTCAAAATTAGAAAAGAATAGCATAATAAACAGAAAAAAAAAGCCAAGAAACTAGTATTATCATGTATTTTTGGTAAAAGTACTAAATGGAATGATATGGTTTGGTTGTGTCCCCACCCAAATCTCACCTTGAACTGTAATAATCCCCACATGTCAAGGGCAGTGGCAGGTGGAGATAACTGACTCATGAGAAGTTTCCCCCATACTGTTCCTGTGGTAGTCAATAAGGCTCACAAGATCTGATGGTTTTATAAATGCACAAGCCCTTTGCCTGCCACCATGTAAGATGTCCCTCTGCTCTTCCATTGTCTTCTGCCATGATTTTGAGGTCTCCCCAGCCATGTAGAACAGTGAGTCCACTATACTTCCTTCCTTTATAAATCACCCAGTCTCAGGTATGTCTTTATTAGCAGCATGAGAATGGTTACAACATATACAAAGGGAGTCTGACACTATCTTCCTAAATTATAGATATTTTTTGTCCCAATGATACAAATTGCAGGAAATTAACCTGAAGACATATCTGATCAAGTATGAAATTAAATAGATGTCATATTTATTGTGGTAATGTGGAAGATTGGAAACCATGCAATATCCATCAGCAAAGCAAAAATGGAAAAACTCTGGTCCTTTCACACAAGAATATTAAGTAGCTATGGCAAAAGAATGTTATAAATTCCACAATATGTTGTTAAGCAAAAAAAGCAAAATAAAAAAGTGCTTAAAATATGCTACATTTTGTGAAAGAGAGGACTAGCATACATACATATATTTCCTTAGCTATGTGCACATATGTAGATACACACACATGTTTTACATATGATATGTTATATATGTACATATTATACAAAACTTCCACATATAAAACTAAACAGGGGGATAATAGTGAAAAGGACAGGGACTAAAGCACAATATCTTGAGTATGCTTTTTTAATATAGCTTTAATTTTGAAATCATGAATCAGTATTACACATAAAAAGTAAACACAATCAAATCAGAAAAGTGAATTAATTTATCAAATTAGTTAATTTAATGAACTAAATTATCAAATTTATATCATATCCCCAAAGATAAAGTATTTCAAATGATTTTATAACATACTGTTTTAATCGCATCTGTTTGGGACACTGCAAGGACAAAAAATGTAAAGAAATCTTAAAATTAGTAAGTTATATCATCACTAGTAATAGTGGCATTGTTGTTTTAATGGTATTTTATAGATAGGACAGGCACGTGGTTACATTATCTTGCTGTAAACCAAGGAACATAGTGGAAGAAAAGATGAATACAGCTATAACGTCTAAAGCATATATGTTATCTTCAATTCAAGTACACAAGACAAAACAACTAGAGTATCAAAACGAAAAACAAAGCAACTGAGCTATAAAAAAAATTATACTTTCTTAAGAATATTGAGAGAGAGAGAGAGAGAAGAATAGAACAAGTAGTAAAACAAAGTAAATAAACAAACAAAAAATTTGGCATCACTGAAGGTAAACAGGGTCACTAAGACCTTACTCTAAGAATTTGTCAATACAATAGAAAGCATCTAGGCCTGTCATTCTGCTACAAACCATTTCAGGGTAACAAAATAGTTCTGATTAATTAAAGATTTTACAAAATCAAATTAAAGAAATGATCAAATAGAAAACTCACAAAATGATCAAATAGAAAACTCACATCCTCTGCTGCATTAACTGACCCAGGTCATATTAATCAATGACTGAACATTAGATGAAAGGTTGATGGAGAACTTTATAACGGAGTGTTTAGACTATCACCAGCTATACCCAACACTCAATTGTAGCATCAATAAAAGTATACCGTCAAATACGGTATAAACGCTAATGTAATGAAATGTAAAGCACAGAACACCACCCATAAAGAATTCCTATGAAAGCAGTTTACTTTTAAATTTAATCAAACCTTTTTTAACTAACTTCAATTTATAAAAAATACAGGGCTTAATGAAATAATTTTAATCAAATTAACAGAAAATAAATGGACAAAGCCAGAAGGCAGGATATTCTGTAAGACAATTCACACAGGTTCTGCAACAAACCAATGGTGCAGGAAAAACAAAAGTGGTGGGAGGACTGCTGCAGATTTAAAGAGGCTTCAAAGACCCAGATAAATGTAACATATAGTCATTATCGATGTTATGATTCAAATAAACCCAGACATTTACAAAATTAGAAAAATTTGATTATGTACTGTCAGTTGATGTAAAGATTCATTATTAATGAATGTAAAGATTCATTATGTGTTATAATGTACTAGCATTAAGAAAGAGAGGGCCATATTATTTAAAACTCTCTCCTGAAGTTTGAAGGACTGGAATTACACAGTTTTGGGGATCTGTATTATGAAAGAAAAAATCTGTATTATAAAATCAAAACCAAGAAAAAAGTAAAGATGATGTAAACATTTAATATAAGTAATGAATAAATGGAATTTCTATGTATTTTTCTACATTTATAAATGTTTGAAATTTTCTACAATGAAAAGAGAAGAAAACAAAATATAAGCAAACAAGCAAAACTAATAGTAGAACGAGGCCTAAACATAGAAATTAGGCTTACTTCTATTCCCCTATTTATGCTCATTCTACTCTGATACTTTAGTCTACATTAGACTTTGCAGTGATTATAGGACTGAAAAAGTGAACAGTGTGGTATCCTCTGGGAGTCCAATATTTCAGGCATTTGTACTATAACAAAGTAAAGTTTTAATCCAGTTCCCAACTTTTTGGCAACCCTTGATTTTTCATTAACCATTATTAAGCCCCTACCAAGGCCCTTGATAATTTTATAATGAATAAAATAATAAAAAACAATAGAGAAATTCAAGCCAGGAGGTGAATAATATCATACATTTTTTGTTTCAGAATCATCACACTGGCAATAATGCAGAAGTAACTTGAGCTAATTTCAGTGGGTAGAAGAGGGAAATTGGGTGATAAGAGGTGAAAGCAAACACAAAACATTCTTTCTTTCCCAAAACTTGACAATAAAGGGCAAGAAGAGAGAGAAGGCAATGATAGAACTCAATGTGAGGTAAAAGGAAAGGTTTTTCTTTCATTTTCTTTTTGTTTTTATGTTCATTTAGAAATGTGAGAGAAAGGGCACAGCAATAGAAACATTTTGACAGAAGGCTGATGAAAAATAATTAAGTAAGGTCCATAGGTGCTGATGGGAATATTTATAAAAAATAGAACTAGCCAACTGTAGTGGTACATGTCTGTAGTCTCAGCTACTCAGGAAGCTGAGGCAGGCAAATCTGTTGAGCCCAGGAGTTGAAGACAAGCCTGGACAACATAGCAAGACCATATCAAAAAAACAAAATTAAAAAAAAAAAGATAAACTTGGGTCTACAAAAAATTTACTAAAAAAGAAAATAGAAAGACTGGTCTTTAAATAAGAAAAGAGAATTTCATTTCTACCTATATAAATTATAAGATAGAAGGAAGGAAGTCAATATAGTTACACAGATATGCAGATATAGCTCTGAGGGACTGAGAAGTTTAGGGAGATTCAGCCTGATGAATCCTTTCATGTGGTTTAGCAACTTTATCTAAAGAAGGAAAGATTAGTACAAGTGATGTATGTAGCTAACAAGAGTGGTGATGAAAATGGTCTGCCAGCAAACAGTTACAATTGCTGGGGTATTTGGAAAGCATGTGATCCATAGAAACATCATGGTATGATAGCAAGGTGTTATATTCCCGTAGAGCTCAGATCACTACTTGTTGTAGGAAGAGAAACAGAGAAGTAAATATACTAACTTAGGGGCCTGCTAACAACTACAGAGTGACCAGTGGTAAGAGAGCATATTCCCTTTATAGATGTTAAAAGTAATTTTATTTTTCTAATCTAGATTTTAAAAGCATAAGATAAATAAGATATGCAGATTGGTGATGAAACAAAATAAATTATGAGAAATAAATGTTTAAATATTAAAATTTCATTGTTCTTACCAATTCGAGTAATTCTATTATGTGAAAGTTCAAGACATTGGATATTAGTGCAGCCATCCAAACCATGAAGAGAAGTCAGTTGATTTTTATTAAGAAGAACAACACACAGATTTTCCAAATTTTCACAGTCAATAGCCTCAATATGGTTTTCCTGAAGCAAAGAATAAATGTAATTAGTTTTATTTCAATGGCTTATTAATGAAATATTTAAAGATTTCAAAAAGAGGAAAGATGAGAAAGGATCTCCAAATTAGTATCTGAGTCTCTAATTTCTAAGATAATCCTGCAAATCCAGCAAACAGTATAACCCTGTTATAATATTTGGATGAAAATATTAAGTAAACTAATAAATAATTAATTTTCAATTTATTTACAAATATTGTTTTAAAATACTGAGGATAACAAAGTATTTTGAACAGTATAAGCTTTAAAAAGTGAACATACTGTCATTCTTTTTTCTCCCATTTTGAATGGGAATGACTACTCTTATCAATCAAGCCCTGTCTCACCATTGTATGTGGGGCAGAAGTAGATAATTTTTAATTTTAGATTGCAGATATCTGAGTTGAAAGAACTTCACCTTGGTGGATAAATCCAAGAAACTGGACCTGATGAGCCTCATCTTCACCTGGATCTGATTTAGATGAGAAAAGCCAGTGCTGCAAGCCTGAGCCTTAAGTGAATGATACTTTGGTGTCTTTGGGATATGAATGTCTTGCATGTGGGAATGATGTGAGTCATTAGAAGCCAGAGCAGAAGTTTGAATAGACTGCACTTCGGTAGCTCCCAGTAAACTTCACAAACCATTATTTGGATATCCATACAGTCCCCTTCTACATGACCTTAGGGCTTAGCCAATAAAACATTAGCCAACATGATGTAAGCAGATGCTTTATAAACACTTGCATACTGCAGTTTGTCTTTTAGGAACACTCACTCTTGAGATCCTGCCACCCTGGAAAGAAGCCCAAGATAGCCATGAGAGATTCTCATATCCAGACATTCCTGCCAGGGCAGCAGACATAAGGTAAGTGATTTAGGACATTCTAGCTCTAGCTCCCATCTGGCTGCAGTTACATAAAAGACCCAGTAAATACAATAGAAACCAGAAAAAAATGCCCAGTGATGTTTGGGCACAATTAATGGCCCACAGAACCATGAACAATAAGATAGTTGTTGGCTTAAACTGCTAAGTAATATAGTCATTTGTTGTGCAGCAAAAACGAATGGAAACAATGACCACATTAGCTACAAAAAAAGTTAAGTCATTTTAGGTCATGCCATCCAATAAACTTCCCTCTTTGCATCTAAAAACTTTAGCATACGACCTGATCTCTTCAGATCCTGAATTATAATTACAAGTTTAGTAACTGTTTTTTCAAAACTGTCATTTCCGAACTGTAAACATAAATCCATTTTGTATTTTATTATAGAATAACAGTAAGACAAAGAGCGTACCTGTGCATCAATGTACTTAAGTTTTTTACAATTACTCAGACTGTGCAAAGAAGTTAATCCACAGCGTTGAAGGGATAGAAATTGAAGATTTGTACACTCTGCCAGGGTAGAGAGAACACAACCTGGCAAATCTTGAAATGTAACTGTTGTAACCTAGAGGAATCAAGAAAATTTGAGTGTATAGTGTTATTTAACAAAACTGAACATAAACAATATTAGACTTACAAAACTGTTTAAAAAATTCATTTAAGAAAACTAATACTATATGTTGGCTGGGTGTCATGGCTCACATCTGTAATCCCAGCTCTTTGCAAGGCTGAGGTGGGTGGATCACGAGCTCAGGAGTTCAAGACCAGCCTGGCCAACATGGTGAAACCCCATCTCTACTAAAGATACAAAAAATTAGCTGGGCGTGGTGGTGCACACCTGTAATCCCAGCTACTCAGAAGGCTGAGGCAGGAGGATCGCTTGAACTCAAGAGGCAGAGGCTGCAGTGAGTCAAGATCGTATCATTGCACTCCAGTCTGGGTGACAGGGCAAGACTCTCAAAAAAAAAAAAGGAAAATTAATACCTTATGTTGAAATCTACATTTATTAACAACTCAATTTGTTAAGCTATCTAGTCTCTTTTGTTCCCCACACAGAAGGACAAAATATTGCAACTATCTTATGACAAATTCAAGTTCAAAGGTAAGATACATAAAAGCAGCAACATAATCATGCATTTGCTCCCTTGCTGATTTTTCACCAATTTTTTATTTTTAAAGTGGTATGGACTTCATATTATACTACAGAGCTATAGCAACCAAAACAACATGGTACTGGCATAAAAACAGAAGCAAAGAACAATGAAACAACACAGAGAACCCCAAAACAAATCCATACATCTACAGTGAACCCATTTTTGACAAAGGCGCCAAGAACATACATTGGAGAAAGTACAGTCTCTTCAATAAATGGTACTGGAAAACACTGGATATCCACGTGCATAGTCATAGAATTTGACCCCTATCTCTTACCACACACAAAAATCAAATCAAAATAGATTAAACACACTTAAATCTAAGACCAAAAACTATGAAACTGATAACATATTTTTTAAAATTGAAGAAACTCTCTAGGACATAGGACTGGGCAAATATTTCTTAAGTAATACCCCATAAGCACAGGCAACCAAAGCAAAAATTGAAAAATGGAATTGCATCAAGAAGCTTCTGCACAGCAAAGGAAACAAACCACAAAATGAAGAGACAACTCAAAAAAAGGGAACAATACTTGCAAACTATCCATATGACAAGGGATTAATAACCAGAATATATAAGAAGCTCAAACAACTCAATAGGAAAGTGTCTCATAATTCAATTGAAAAATTGGCAAAAATCTGAATAGATATTTCTCAAGAAGATATACAAATGGTAAACAGGCATATGAAAAGCTGCTTAACATCACTGATCATCAGATAAATGTAAACTAAAACTACAATGAGATATCATCTCACCCCAGTAAAAATGGCTTATGTGCAAAAGTCAGGCAAACATTGGAGAGGATGTGAATGAAAGGGAACTCTCATACACTGTTGGTGGGAATGTGAATTAGTACAGTCACTGTGGAGAACAGTTTGGAGGTTCTTCAAAAACTGAGCTACCATGTGACCAGCAATACCAATGCTAGGTATATATCCAAAAGAAAAAAAAAATCAGCGTATTGAAGAATTATCTGTACTTGCTCTCATGTTTATTGCAGTACTATGCAACATAGCCAAGATTTAGAAACAACCTAATAAGTGTTCATCTATAGATGAATAAATTTTAAAAAGTGGTACATATACACCATGGATTACTATTCAACCATCAAAAATAATGAGATCCTGCCACTTGCAGCACCATAGATAGAATTCAAAGTCCTTAAGTGAAATAAACCATGCACAGATAGATAAACTTTGCATATTCTCACTTATTTGTGGGAGCTAAAAGTTAAAACAAACTTATAGGATTAGAAAGTCAAATGATGACTATCAGAGGCTGGAAGGTTAGTGGGGTGTGGTTGAGGAAAGTGGAGATGGTGAATGGGTGCAAAAATATAGTAAGATAAATGAATATGATCTAGTATTTGATAGCACAACAGGGTAACTAAAGTCAATAATAATTTATTGTACATTTTAAAATAACTAAAAGAATATAATTGGATTATTTGTAACACAAAGAAAAGGTAAATGCTTGAGATAATGGATACCCCATCTACCATAATGTGATTATTATGCATGATATGCCTGAATCAAAATATCTCATGTATCCCGTAAATATGAATACCCACTATGTACCCACAAAAGTTAAAAATTAAACAAAATCATTAGCTTTTATAGAATTTTCATAATTTGGGCCTTCCATTTAAGTCTTTCATCTATCTTAAATTAACTTTCATAGGACATGTTCTTCTTTATGTCAGCTTTGGCAAAGAATTTATAGTTAAGTCCTCAGAAGCAATTGCATCATAAACAGAAATTGACAAGTGGGGCCTAATTAAACTAGAGAGTTTCTAGTTTAATTAGAAACAGTTTCTAATTAACAGTTTCTCTACATAGCAAGAGAAACTATTAAAGGAATAAACTGACAACCTATAGAGTGAGGAAAAAAAGACATTTGCTGACTATGTGTCGAACAAAGGTCTAACTTCCAGCATCTACAAGGAACTTAAACTGGCAAGCAAAAAGTAAATAACCCCATGAAGAAGTGGACAAAGAACATGAACAGAGAGATTTTGAAAGAAGACCTACACATGGCCAACAAACATATGAAAAAATGCTCAACATCATTATTCATCAGAGAAATGCAAATTAAAAACAATGAGATACCATCTCACACCAGTCAGAATGGCTTTGGCTAAAAAGTTAAAAAATAATAGATGTTGGCAAGGTTACAGAGAAAAGGGAACACTTGTTCATTGTTGGTGGAGATGAAACTTAGTTAAGCCACTGTGGAAAGCAGTTTGGAGATTTCTCAAAAAACTGAGAGTTGAACCACCACTGAACCCACCAATCCCATTACTGGATATATGCCAAAAAGAGAATTAATCATTCTACCAAAAAGACACATACACTGGTATGTTCATCGCAGAACTATTCACAATACCAAAGACATGGAAATCAACCCAGGTGCTCATCAGCAGTGGATTAGATTTTTTTAAAAAAATCAGTATATATAATATATATATATATATCCTGGAATACTATATAGCCATAAAAAATGAAATCATGTATAGCAACATGGCTGCAAGTAGAAACCATTATCCTAAATCAACTAACACAGAAACAGAAAGCCAAATACCACATATTCTCATTTGTAAGTGTAAACTAAACACTAAACATTGGGTAAACAAGGACATAAAGATAGGAAAAATAGACACTGGAGAAAACAAGAAGGGGTGGAAGGAAGTGGACAAGAGTCGAAAAACTGCCTATTGGGAACTATGCTCAAGACCTGGGTGACAGGTTCAATCATGTTCCTAACTTCAGCATCACACAATATGTGTTTATAACAAACCTGTATTTGTACTCCTGAACTTAAAATAAAAGTTAAAAATAAATACATTAAGAAAAAAAATCATTAGCTTGATAGAAATAATCTTGTATATATCATACTTAAAATTATAAAAATATTATATTAAAATTAGAAACATTATTATTTCAAACAACACTGGAAAAGTACAAAATTTTAGAATGCAGTAACTACTCTTTGTATAGAACATTTTCTGTGCATTAAGTTAAACTAAAAGTTTTAAATTTATATATTTATGTAAGTAAATTGAAGGAACATGTGTTGATGGTGATATAAAGAAAAGAATTAGCCTACTCTGTTTTAAGTAGCAAAAGCAATAATTAAAACTTCAGATAAATAAGACTTTCAGTTTCAAAATCAATTTAGAAATGTCTCAATTATATGTCATCTAAAGCAATTTTGAAACAAATTTATTTTCAATAATGTTTTCAGAAAGAAAATATATTCATCAATTTCTATGGAGACAACTTCTATGTATTGCCTATTTAATCTGTAACGAACAGATACAAATTCTGTAATTGAAAAAATGGCTCTACATTAAAAATGAAAACACTATTTAGAATTGAGCCCTTAAAAATGGAACACAATTACAGCTGTATAGTAACAAATGCTACTTAACATTATAATTTATATTATTCAATGTGATTTAATAACATGCTGCTTTCAATCAACTATACAAGCACAATTAAGTTCTAGTTATTTATGATGTGGCAATTTCTGTCCTTTAATCTTATTACAGCACAGAAGTAACTGCTACAGTATCCCTGTTAGTGGTACTTACTTTTGAATATAAGGAGATTCATATTCTTTAATTGAAGCTTCCTCCTTTTCATTGAACATTTAAAAAGAATCTTTATACTATGGCAATATATTCTCTACTCGACCATAATTTTTCCAAACATGAGATCAAAATAAATGTTTGTATTAATTATTCATACATGCATGAAAATAATCACATACATAAAATCACTTTATGCTTCAAAAATTAAGGTCAATATAGAACTAGTAATCATATATGCTTATTACTGTATGGTCAACTTGAAAAACAGCAATTGGAGCATAACAGATGTTGGGTAAATATTTTATAAATAAATGAATAAACTTTCCTGGCCTGTGGCAAAACTCGACTATATTTATAGCACTCATACTTTCTTTTTCTTATAAAGAATTATGTAAAAACATTTGAAAAATTATACTTTCAGGTCTCATGACTTGAAAATAAACTATCCCACCTTTAGAAGCTATGAAACATTTATTATATTTTAATTACAGATTCCAAATCAATTTTCTACTTAATCATCAGTATTTTCCCAAATCTTTGACAGCCCATTGTAGATAAAATTCCCTAACAAAGCAATATGCTTTTTAGAGATTTTATTCTCAGTTATTCTGGAGTTCACCTAAGAAGTATCAGTTGTCTATGGTAAACTGTAATTACGAAAGTAATGAAAGCAACAAGTCTATATTTTGTTTTACTTTTTCAGAACATTTATTCAGTGGTCTAATCTCAAACCTATTGAGCATGGAAAAATGATACTGTTTTTAAAACTAGCTGCAAAGGGACTGGGTCCAAGGTATGATTCGTGGCTTGAATAAAACAGCTACACAATAATTTCAAGCAATTCATGTGTTATTCTGATAGCAGTATATTACAGTTTACTTTGTATAAGAGAAGGGAGACTTCTTGATCTAAAAGTTAAAAAACACCTAAAATATTATTATTCATGTTATGGTATAAAGCAGTATTTAAAAATCCTTAAGCTCAGTGCCCTTTTTTGTGGTTGTTGTTACTTAAAACAAGTTACCATTCATAGCAAAATGCCAAAATTAAAAGATAAAATAGTTAAAACATTTAAAAATAAAAATATATTCATTAGCTACAATTATTGCTCTTTTCTCTTTTGAGATATTACTACATATAACCCAATGGTTTAGTATTTTCAACTTTATCACTTTTTTGATGAAACAGGCTATTAAGCAGCCCTCAAAAAAAAAAAAATCATTTGCCTTTTTCTTTGCTTGCTTGAGACCCACATTTGACAAGTGATACTAGAAATCCTGGGCCATGTTCTTTACATACAGCATTTTAAAACTTGACAATCCTACATAACAGATATTGCTCTTGCAGTTTGTGAAAGACAAAACTGAGGCTCATAGAGGTCAAGCATTTGCATAAGGTGACACAGTCAATAAATGGCAGAAATGAAATTAGAAAGTCTTAATATAGAACTTATTAGCAGTCTAATAAACTACACTCCAACAATTTTATGTTAATTTCTTCTTCAGTCAATATCCTTTATCTAAACTGTGAAACTGGTAGTAACGAGAAGATAAGATTAACATTCAATTGGAATTATTTATTCATCTCCCCACCCATCCATCCTATAATCAGGTAATGAAAGCCACTACAGATGGTTCCTGACATAAGACTGTTTAATGTAGAATTTTTAAAAATTTTATGATAGTGTGACAGCAACAGACATTTATTAGAAACCATACTTCAATTGTGAATTTTGATCTTTTCCCAAGCTAGCAATATAAAGTATGATAATCTCTCATGATGTCAGGAAATAACAGGGAGCTGTAGCTCCCAGTCAGCAACACAATCACCAGGGTAGACAACAAATACTCTACAGTGTACCATGTGGCCAGATGATTTTGCCCAGTTGTAAGCTATGCAGATGTATCTGGATGTAACCTAATTGTAACTTAAGAAGTATCTTTATTTGCCTGGCAATGTGTAAAGAAGTATTGACAAAAAGAAGATCTGATTTATATCCTGAAGTCTCAACGTGAGAGATTAACATAAAGAAAATGAATGCATTACTGTAGGACAACAAACTTTTCTAAGTTTATCTCCAGAAGGACATTCCAAGAATGGAAGTGAGTGGTCAGGATAAGGACAAAGATCTGAAGCTAAGAGAATATAAAGTCAAAAAGAAAGCGAGCCATGGATCAGTAGCAGCAGTGGTGAATGAAGACACAAGGGTAAGCCATCTACCAAATGCAATCATTATAGGAGTTGTCCGGTAATACAAGATGATATTTTCTGAACACTTTAGCATCTATATGGCACATCCACATGTATTTTTCAACTTTATATTGTCTATTTGATGCTTCAAAGCCAAATTAAAAGCTTGCAATAGTTGCTTTAAGAAGAGATGAGAGGATGATGAACACTACTACTCAGATTAGTCCATGCACTAGTGTCAAAATCATCATTCAGAATAATTGCAAGTATGCAGAATGGGTGGATTCCCAGACCTATTGAATCAGAATCCACATTTCAACAAATCTTCAGGTGTTCTACAGATTTTAATAGTTTGCCAGGCCTTGGTCTGAGAAGGAAAAGAAAAGAGTTAATTGTCATCTTATGTACATTGACAAGAGTTCAAAAGAAGGAACAGAGAGTGGACTGGAGAAGAAATGCCAAGGAGAAAAAGTTAAGATTCACAAAGCTTAACTTCCTTCTCATTGGACAGAACAGAGACCTACAAAGAAAGGGAGGAAAACTACTGTTTCTGTAACTTCATTGTCTCTTTCAAACCAAGTACACTATAGGCACAAAGCCACCACTTGTGCCTAGCTTTAACAGATATTCATGAGAAAAATTAAATAATTGCTGATGTTATCATATTGGAAGGCCTGCTGCAATACGTTAGAGAAAGAAAAGTGCTAAAACATAACTTCAGAGACAACATGCCCAAGGACAAAATTAGGGAAGAGCACATGAGAGATTCTATATACAGCTCTAAAGACATAAAAGATGTGGCAAATACATTACCTAGGAAATAAAAGACATTTAAAAGAGTATGTCTTGTCTCTTATTGCTATTTCATATATCACAGATCTCTTCAAAATCCCACTATTTTATTATTATCTCACAGGATACTCTGAAATCTTATTTACAACAATTCTGAAGATTCATAATAATGTATTCATGTGCATATTTATTTGTTTAAGTTCTGTAAAGGAAAAGACTGGGTTTTCTTTATTTTTATTTATTTAGTCCACCAATAAATATTGATCATCATATTGGATAGATAATTCACTCATCATATTGCTGAGTGAATGAACAAAATAATGTTCATCTATTAATATGATTGCTCCTTTTCCTAGGCATCTGTCTGGTAAGAAAGTCTGTCAAAAAACTAAACTTTATTGAATACATTTGACTTTCAGTCCTTAACTAAATATATGTATTTTAATCATAAGTCCTTTCTAGTGTTACACTGTTTAAAATATTTTCTGTTTTTCTGTAAGTTTCAGTGCCTAATTTTGGTTTAAACTATGTTCTCCATAACCATAGAAAATCAATGATATTTGATAACTATTTTACATTTAGACATATATGCACCACCGTTAAGTAGCACATGACTAAATAATTGTTTCTAGATAGGAATTCTAGGGTCTTGTATACTGTAAGCCCACAGCAGTGGTCATGGACAGGAAATCCACTTTATTCCCAAAGAAGCCACTAGGTGGTGTGGTGGCTTAAGTATAAAGCAAACCGTTTACTTAGGAGTTGCCTACTCTAATTCCAACCCTACATTTCTAGATGCTTCATTCTTAGAGGCTTAAATATCGACCATAGGGTCCTTGACATAGGGTTCAAGATATTTAAAAACACATAAAGCAAAGTTTTTTATAGAATGGTACTTAGAGAAGATGCCTCAAACAATTTTAGTTGAGATCTTTAACATATATCCCCTCTCAAATGGGGTAGTATTTCAAACTTTATTAAACAAGAGACAGAATTCTTGTATATAAATTCTTGCATATATTCTTATATATAAATTCTTGTATATAAATTCTTGTATATATTTCTTTTTCTAAGATCTGAAAAGTTATCTTTTAAAGAGCTATTTGTAACTAAATATGAAAAAGTGTTATAAAACTAGAAATACCTGCTGTAAAGTATCCCAAGGGCCACACCGAAGAATTTCCAGTGTATCCAAAGCAGGTGCCATGTTGGCTGGGCATTTCACGGGTCTCTTTCTTCTAACAATTTTCTTTTGTTGACTTTGCTTGAAAATTTCAAGCCAAGGTTTAAATGATTTTATCCAGGCTAGTCTCTTTTCTTCAATAGAAGACAGAAGGGTTGACTCTGGTACAGAGCAGGTCATGCTTTCAGGTTCTGCTCCATTTTCATGGCATTTTTCTGAAATTTCTTTAATCTCAGATTTAAGAGAGTTCACTTCTTTAGACACCATGGAGCTTTCTGCATTACAGTCACTCAATTCTTCACAAGGAGCATGTGTACCTAACACATAATCTTGATCATTTCTTTTGCCTTCTATATTTGTCATGGTATCAATTGTGTTAAAAATCACATCACTATTCCATGCATTGTCTTTTGGGTTCTCCTCAATTTCTTTAAATTTTAAATCAATTTCTTTTTCTTGTAGTATTATGTTTTCTCCTATATCTTCAGAATTTTCTGATGTTAGTGATAGTGGTTTTTGTTTCATTGAAATAATTAAAGTATCCTTATCTTTATATAACAATCCATTCTCTTCTTTTTCTACTATTTGTACCTCTTTCAGCTGATTATCTTTTATTATTTTCTGTTCTTCATTGGTTTTCACCTCACTGATTTCTTGGTTATATCCTAATATTATTTGGGTATTTTTATCCACGTTTTCATTTATGACATGTTCCATGATTTCTTCTTTTTGTATATCCAACTTTACTTCTTGCAGCTGAAACTGTTCTTTCACATTTTCTTTTAAATTGAGGTTTCCCAATTCAGTTTTGTTATCTATATTTTCATATTTTCTTGCTTGCTTGACCAATTCTTCTGAACACTGCTTTTTTGCTAAGTTTTCATTGTTTTCTTCCATTTTAAAATCTGCCACAATTGTTTGGCTTGATATAGATTCTTTTAATTTTACTTGTGTTGATTCTTTTAATATAATCTGTCTATCTACATTTTCTTTCTTATTTGATTCTTCAGCTAACCAAAGGAGAACATCTTCCTGCTTCTTTGCATTTTCATCCACTAGCTTTTTGGCTATATCACCCTTATTATATGAAGTATCTTCACGAATCAAATGTTTGTTACTACATCCTCTTTTCTTTAATGCACTACTTAGTAGTAGCTGTCGGCTTGCAACTCCTCCTATTTTTTCCTTGTTTATTAGTTGTTCTCTTTCTTGTTTCACAATATTCTTTTTTTCTTCATATTCTTTTTCTCTCCCTTTCCTTTCCTCTTCCTTTTGCTTTTTTCTCTCTTCTTTTATCCTTTGTTTCTCCTCTAATCTTTTTCGTTTTTCTTCCTCCTCCTGTCGTATTTTTGCTTTCTTTTCCTTCCACTCCTGTGCTTTCCTTTTCTTACTTTCAATTTGCTCTTTTATAATTGGGCTGTATTTTTTATAGGCTACAAATGCTTTATATTTAGCTTGAATTTTAACAGCTGCATTATTCTGTTGTTTTAACAGACAAACTTTTTCTTTTTCTTGTAGGTCTTTAAATCTTGTTCTTTCTTCTTCCATTTGTAAATGCAAGTTTCTAATATACTCCTAAAACAAAGTAAGATACACGGTAGTTAGTGTAAACTAAATATGTGATGTTACTAAAATGTCATCTGAAATATAGATTGAAAACAAATAACTAAAACTTAAGTCTGAATAAAGTTCCTATAAAATTTAGTGAAGCTAAATTCATTTATCTTAAAGGGTATTACTTTTTTAATACTTATGAGGTTGAATCATGTTGTTAAGTTGATATTTTAATGTTATGTGTATACTAAGCCACCCAAATATAAATTAAAGATTTCCTTGAAGATAGAAAAGCATATCAAATCAGAAAGACACAGAATAAGCAAACAAACAATAAAAACAAAAAGGAAACCACAGGCTAAAAAACGTAGAAGAAGAGGACTTCAAATTTTCTGGATTGAGAATTCTGACAAAGAAGACCCAGAGCCAGTATTGAGACTGCAAAAATAGGAATTATTCTGTAAAACTTATGATACCAAGAAAGCCAGGTAGTCCCTATATACAAACAATATAAAAACCTATTCACTTATTGTGTTCCTTCTCAATGATCAAAATAGTTGATAACCACATACTACTGCATTTAATGAGATATTTGGAGTTAGGCGAGAAAATATTATTTTCACAAGAGTCCTAAACCAAAGTAAGCAGATCAACAAAATTAAGCAAATATCTAAGGGAAACTAACACAAAGGATTTGAGACTACATTTTAATCACCAGAAGGAAGAACCAATTTCTGAGAAAATAGAACTATAAAATAAACTAGATAAAAATTTAAATAAAGATATTTTAGAAAAAATATTTAAACAGGAATAACCTCATATTTCAAGTGTTCAAATAAAAATGACTCACTTAAACAGATAATCAAAATAGAATGGCTGGACAGCAGATTACTTAAAAAAAAAAAAGAAAAAAAAACCTTAAAAATGGGTGTTTTCCCAAAACAACAAATAATAACAAAGATAAAAAAATATATATGTCAGAGGTAAAGAAGATTAACACAGAAACTACAACACATGACTAGTAGGAGTTCCTAAATAAAGAACTGAGAAAAAATAAAAGGAAGAAAATAATAGAAAAATACATTTTCTTAAAAACAACAACAAAAAGCCATGGGAGAAAAATGGAACATTGCCTGCACATATACACAACACACTTAGACAGATGCTAGCAATATTTCAGAACTCTAAGAAACGGAAGCTGTTAGTTTTACTGTTGCTCCTTTTAGGTAATATGTCTCTTTTTTCCTCTGGATGCATTTAACATTTTATTTTTCTTTTTTCTTATTTTACTTTTTATTTATCAACACTTTTTTATTTTGTCTTGAATTGGAATAATACTATTTAATTCCAAGATGTGATTCTTTGTATCTATCCTCCTTGAGAATTATCATCTTTGAAAGTAGGGATTATTTTCAGTTTTATGCACTGCCATATCTTAAACATTCAGAGAAGCACCTGACATAGCAGAAAACCAGTAAATATGTGTGGAAGAATGCATAAAGTGAAAAATTCAAAAGCTTCAAAAGAAGGTAAGAAAAAGGCAACAAGTTTGCAATCACAGATAGCATAGGCAAAAATATACAATGAAGTCTTATCTTTACATTGTTAAAAGTGGTAATAAACCTGGATTCTACACACCCAAAGAAACTGACCATTAATTTTTGAAAGCAAAATAAAAATATTTTCAACTATGCAAACAAAGATTGAGAATATCTAGCATCCAAAAGTTTTTTTGACAACTATTTAAGTGTATATTCCAGGAAATTAAAAAATTAGCCCAAAAATTGGAAGAAGAGTTAGGATTCAAAGGACACAAATGAATAAAGAAACCATTATCATTAAATATTTGAATTGTCTTCTTTCTTCCATCATTTTACTTAAAGACAGCTATTTGTTTTACTATTACTCCTTTTTAGGTGGTGCGTCTTTTATCCTCCGAATGCTTCTAAGACTTTGTTTTTCCTTTGTTTTGAATTTCAGTAATTGTACTATTTATTCCAAGGGGGTAGTTTCTTTGTATTTATCCTACTTGGAAATTATGTTTCATCTTTGACTATTGAGGTCTATTGAGGTTGATTTTTTAAAAACAATTTGGAACCTTTTTAACCATTATCACCTTTTTAAATTTTTGTTTAAAATTATACTTTAAGTTCTGGGGTACATGTGCAGAACGTGCAGTATTTTTACATAGGTATAGATGTGCCATGATGGTTTGCTGCATTCATCACCCTCTCACCTACATTAGGTATTTCTCCTAATGCCTAACCACTGTCTCTTTACCTCATTGCTTCTGCTCCAATCCCTCTCTTCTCTCCTTTTAAGATATGATACAAATTTTCTATCTTTTCACTATGTATCACGTATTTCTTGAGCTCCTTTCCTGTTTTCTCATTTTTTTCTTCTCTGTGCTTTAATTTGGATATTACCTATGGAACTGTCTCATTTCACTAATGGTCTCATCTGCTATTCATCCACTGAATTTTTAAATTGTATATACTGAATTTTTTAAACTCCAGAATGTACACTTGGTACTTCATTATACATGCGATGTTTCTTTTCACATAACCTGTTTAAGTATTTTGTTATTGGATTATATTTATAGGTATTTTGACAGCTCTATTAAATTTAACATTTGGATTATATATAAGCAAGCTATTATTGTCCTTTTTTGTCACTTGTCATTCATATGACCCTATTTACATGCTTAACCAACTTTTTAATTTGACTACGTGTAGCAGAAACCTACTTTTGCAGAAGTGCGTTAATATAAATTTTAAAAAAGATTTGAAAGAAATATAAAAAAGGATAATGTTTAGCTAAATAACAAATTTATGGGAGATATATATTTTAAATTTGTAATTACTTAAAATAATTTTATACAAAACTGTGGAATAAAAAAACTAAAACTTCATCAATAAATGTATCATCAAAATAATCTTATATTCAAAACAAAATTTATTGTGTTTAAGAAAAGAAGCTTTCATAACAGTCTTTCAACATAAAGAAATGTTCAAAATGGTACCTTTCCTCAAACCTTAAAATAAATTTTAGAATTACAATTTTATATGGACAACACTCACTAAACCAGCTAACTCTCATTTTCAAGATATTCTATTTCAAGAAGTATTTCTGAGGATAACTAAATTTTTAATGCTGTAATAAACTAAATCTTATACTACTTAGGCAGTATTATCTAAAAATAACCATTTCAAGCAAAGTAATGTATTTCAAATAAACAAAGCTTAATGTGCAAATTAAAAACAACAAATAGGTACCTCATGCTGTTTAAATTTCTCTTTCCACATTTTCTCTTCTCTAGAGAGTTCATCATTCATCTTGTCCTGTTCTTGCTGAACATATGATAATAATAAATATGGCTATACTCAAATATCAAATATATCATGTTAATTATATATGATTCTCATAAATATATTTGTAAACAATAGTTAAAGATGATAACACACCCAATGGCTTTTGATTTTTAGTACTGGAATAACAACTTTAATCTCAAACTGAAGTGTCACATAAATAATACCTAAAGTTTCCATTCTGAGAACATAAAGATGTTTGCAAACTGAGAAAGTTGCTATATTCATTTGAGTATGTTTATTTACAGCATATAATTTATTGGCTTGGAATACTGTTGGGCAGGGGAAAAAATTACAATAATGTTTGTAGAATGAGTTTTGTATACAATTGTTTTCTCACCACGTCATACCATTTAACTCACATTAATCAGTTCAGTAAGCAATGGTTTTCCTTCAATAACTCTTTATCAACACATCTGATAAGACTCCTCAGAATAAGTAAAGATCAGTAAAATACAACCCCCTTCTTCAAAAACTCTTCTGATCATGTGAAAACACTAGCATAAATTTACACATTACCCCAAATTCAGCAGAAAAATTACACTACAAGAGAAAAAATATGAAAAATCGTAAGTATGATAATTAGATCATGAAAGGCTTCATGAAGAAAATTGTATTTGAAATGACTATGTTTTCAATAAAAGAAACATTTTCAGCACTTCCTAAGCATTTTGAGCTAGAAAAATAATTTCAGCTCTATTTTTATAAAAGTCTTCAGTTTAAATAGGATTAGAATTGGATGAGAAATGAAAAAATTGATATAGTATAAATAACCACTCTTTAAGAGGGCTATCATACACAGCCTTTAAAAAGCCAATCAAAGAACAGCTAAAGAGAAATATAAGAATGATCTCATGATTATTCTTTTGTTTTGTTTTTGGGATAGGAGAAAACTGAACATGCTTATAAACAATAAAAAAGGAGAAGATGATGGGGTGTCTCGGCATATTGAAAAAGCAAGGGTAGGTTGAAAAATGATAAAAATATAAAGTAGAAGAGGAAAAGCTAAACTTTGGCAGAAGGAAGAAACCTTTCTTACTGAGATAGGAGGGAAGGCAATTAATAATTAAAAAGAAGATGAGTATGGATATTGATACTAAATGGCTGTAGAATTAAAAGGAAGAAAAAGTTTGCCAAAGTTTAAGGCAAAAAAAATGTTATGTGATTATTTGATAATAATGACGGAGGAGGAATTGGGTATAATTCTTATGAGATTTATGATTGCTATTTTGGAAAATGGAGAGGCAGCTAATAAAGAATCCAGGAAAGAACTACTGAAAGAAAGTAAATTATATATTTAGAGTCAATCATAAAATTGTGGACTAGTCCCACTGGAAACTTTTAAGCTCCAAGGCGTAATAAAGGACATATTTAGTAAATCATTATAGCTAACAATATTGCATTTTCTTAAATCATAATTTTATCATAAATTGCTAATGTGTTTCAACAAATAAGCTATAATTCTTTGAGGGTGAGATTCGGTATTAGATCTCTTTTGCATCATCTAAGCACACAGCTGAATGCTTTCCCCTTAAGGTAGTCAGAAAATTTTGATTGTAAAACAAATAAAAATGACAACCCTAGTGAACAGGATTGAAATCAGATGTTTTCTAAATCTGAAAATACTACTAACACTCAATAGCAATTATGTATTTTAACTACAAACCAGCAAATACTTTTCCAATAATCATTATATTCAATCCTATTTTGGAATATTTTTAAAAGCTTTGGATTTCAGAAATGACTATGTCATTCTGGTCTATGGGAAAGAAAACATAACTGAAGGAAAAGACATCTTACTATTAGAAATAGTCATGGTATAACTGGTTCTACAATATTACAATTTCTTTTAATGTGTTTATTTTTTTCACACGGTAAAGAAATGAAATGTACTCAACATACAGGACTAAAAAACACTGAACAAGCTAATGTTCTTTATATGCAACACTCAAAACCAGCAAGTTCTGAATAACGTATATTTAATCATGAAAGACAGAGATGTCAGTCATGCCTGTTATCCAGATATTCTGGATATTTTCCAAATATTCTGATGACCTGCACGTAGGGTCCTAAAATTCACCAGATTCTCAGTATTGATATACCACTACAATGACATGATTGTGTGGACCTCCCAGGGGGAAAAAAAAAACAAAAACACATGCAACAGAAATAAAACAGCACAAAATTTCCAGTTGGAGAAAGTAGCTTAATTATGAAGGTGGGGCACAGACTGTCACCTAAATGGCTGAACTACTTTTAAATATGTTTTACATAATATGTCATATGCCAGACCACACAGCATATGACACACTATGGAAAAAACATCCTCAATAATTTTTCATTGTTTTTTCCAATATTTAGAATGGCATAAAGAAAAACAACAGTTTATATTATAAATTTCAGACTATCCAGGATGACCCTTGAAACTTCATAGGCTCCACTGCTCCCCAAGATTAAAAGTATGTCTGAACTTCGAATGAATTTCAATAAAAACTAATAAAGGAGTTTATATTAAATACTGTTAATTTACAGTCAATTTCATCCTCTATCAGAAAGTAATTAAAAGCTATACTATTAAGCTCAATCTACACCACAATCCAAATATCAATATTCTTCAGAGGTAGCTACTGATTTTTAAAATGTATGAAAAACAAGAGCTAAATACCTTCTGAATGTTCTCTAATTTCTTCTTTTCAACTTTAAATTGTTCCATCCAGCAATGTCTCTTTTCTTCTTCTTCCTGAAACTGTTTTTCTTCTCTATCCCGCTGAGCTTTAAGAGTTTCTTTCTCTTTATCTTCTAGTTCCTTCTGTTTCTCTTGCCAAGCCTCAAAAGACTGTCTACATTGTTCTTCCACTTCACAGTATCCAAAATTTATATCAGCATCATCTGCATTCATGAAGAAAAATAACATCATTATTTGTAAGATCAAAACTGTCAAACTAATTCAATTTAAAGTACAAAAATAATTTTAAAGGGAAAAAGTAATGTCAACATATTCCTAAAATGATAATATGCAGCAATAAAATACTTTGTTTAATATACGTGGAAATTCTACTGAAGTAAATAAAGTCACATAACTTTCCTTAAAATATTCCACAAATCTTAATATGAAAATAAAATTTGTGAGTGCGTGTGTGTGTGTGTGTGTGTGTGTGTGTCATTAAGAAATAGTTAAGAGACAGTGAAGAGATACTAAATAAAATCAGGGACAGGCATATCTATTGCAGTCAGCTAACGTGGAAAAAATTACTTAAATCAAGTTAATTTAGAAGGCATAGAGGCCTATGATGGTATGTAACTGAATAAGTATAGCAAAGGCACAATAATTTTAAAATATTGTAATTGTTTTTCTAAATATCAAAAGAACAAAAAATAACTGTCCAATTTTTTTAGATAACTATAATCAATCACATAAAAATTAAAGAACATATCATTGAGCAATTTAATCTACCTGTTAAAACATGTTCATCCATAGGCAAGTCATCAGAATCAGGCTCAGGAATAAAATCAGGACTGGCACAATTGGTTTTACTTCTAATAAATTCTTCTTTTTCTATTTCAGATAATATCTAGGAGATTAAATGAGTACCAATGATTAAAGAAAACCAAAATAGAGAGTAAATCTGACATTTTAACAATACATTAAATATTTCTATGTATATACTAAGAATTTTAATTTACTCCAGACTTCTCTCAAATAAAAATCTGTACCACATTGATAATTATCTCTTTACAATGAATAAAAAATTTTTCCCACACAAGCATAAGTAATTCTTATGTTTTTCAGAACTCTAAGTCTTAATATTATTGAATATTATTCTACAATATTCAATTAAACGGTTTGATAAGCACTTTACAATGTTTCTACTAATGTTTTCCTTTTAATATATTTCTATTTTTCTGACTGTAGTGACTGTTCACATATACAAACTTTTTATATATTCCATATGATAAAAAAGAGAACTATAACCTAAATTATATGTACATCATTTATATCAATACTTTTCCATAATTTTATTTTCACCATATTTTAGTTGGAAAGACACAAGATAGTAACAGAAAGTAACAGTACAATAATTCCAAGAAAGTAACAGTACAATAATTTAAAATTAATATTTCAAATTTGTGTTACCAAAATACATTCAAAAGAGTAAAACATTTTAAAAAATGAGATATGTAAGCAATTTTCAAATTACATTAAACATGTTAGGAAGGAGGGATACAGTTAGATAAAAGGAGAGAAAGTTGGATAAAATGAGAGGTAAAAATCAATCTAAAAAGTGAATCTCTACAAGAGCCTTTCTCTTAAATACATTTGTGGGGTTTTAACTTAATAAAATAATAGGCTCTCCTTTACTCCTATGTTTTAAGTAAGTTTTTCTTGTATTTGTTTCTAAAAACTAGTATATAATATTCTAAATTTAAATATTCTACAGAGTAAAGTCTCTGCTGGAACATAGTACAGTCTTAAGAAGGAGTACATTAGAGTATATTCATTATTTTCCTCAGAATTTTTAGAAAACAAAAATTGTATAATATAGTTCTACTGTTTTATCTACAAGCACATTAAATTGCCAGTTATAAATGGCTCCTCAAGTCACCACTTTCAATATTCTTGAAGACTGAAATATGAGTGTTTTTATATTATATGCCAGAGAAAAACATAAAACCAAAGATGATTTGCTTAAAAATAATTAATTTTTAATATTTAAATCAATGAACTTAAAATCAGCAAAGCATCATCCCTAAGAGTGAACATTTCTAATTGTGATAGTGAATACTTTAAGTCAACTATTGAATATATACCTTCATTAATTGCTGTGAAACTTCTTCATATTCAGTTGATAGTCCTGTCCTTAAATGCATATGATTATTAGAAACTGCTCCATAACTACAGCCTAGAGAAAAAAATTATAACTTCAAATATTAAAGTACAATACCACATGTCAAAATCTCAAACCCTTTCATAATTTTTAATCTCAAATTCTATCAGGGTATATTGTTGATCAGTAAGGGAAACTCAAAACAACAGAAAAATAATAAAGAATAAACAGTAAAGGAAATCTGTTATATTTACTCTAAAAATAAAAGTAATAAATTTCTAAAGCACTTTCACTCTTTATCACTTCCCATAATCTAGTGCCTTTAGTTTATTTCCCAGGCATAAAGAATCATGCTTTGCTTGACAGTGTAATGACACCTTGATTAGAAATCAACAAAAATTCAACTCTATCTGCCGCAAACCAGCAATATGACTTTGCACAAGGTATTGAAAACACTTTAATAAAAATACAAATTTAAAAATTGTAACTATTACCATTTAAGTGAAGAGAAATTATATTTCTTATTTTATGATTTATTGAATTTTATAATTTTTTAATTAACTGTGCAGATGTAATTATGTTTATTTTCTTTCATTCAATTAATATGTTATAACATGGTGATGTTTCCTAATAGTAAACTAACTTTACAGAGGACCATTCTGCTGGCTGATTATTCACACCTATTTTGTCAGATATTATAGATTTTCTTTTTCCTCAAACACCTATTCACTACCTTTCTGGCATGCTTTCCTGTGTGAGAGGTCAAAAAGAAAAAAAATGACATCATCTAGATTCCTTTGCAGATAGGTTTCTGAGAGTGATTTAGTTTATGTTCATAAATATATTTACATAAACTTTATTTTCATAAAATATTATGTCTAAAGAGAGGCAGGTGATGATATTTTTATGTCTATGGCCCAGAATGTGGTAGAAGGAGCTCTGAGTTGGGAGACAGGAATGTATAGCAGAGGATTAATGTCTCTGAACTTCTTAAGAGCAGCTTCTAATGCAGCCCAGTTTTACAATATATGCGTGGGGTTTGTTCTACACCTTAGATGTTTAGACTAGAGACTGTTTCTTCATTTTCACTAATAATTTGGATATTTATTGTAGCAGATAGTCCCCAAAGATGTTCCTTCCAAAGAGGCATACTTGGTATACATACCCTGTATAGTTCCCTCCCACATAGAACATAGGCTGACACTGTGTGACCATCAGGATGTGGCAGAAATGATGCATGATGTCTGAGAAGAGATCATGAGAAGCCCTACAAGGTTCCACCTTGGTCTCTTGGTAGTTTGCAGTAGAACACTCCTCAGAATCTAGGTAACATGACCTGAGGAGCGAAAGCCAAAGAAAGAGGCTACATACAGGTGTCACCACTTGAAAGCCACATCTGAATTCCCCAGCCAACAAGTGGCATCAAAGGCCAGCCATTTTAATGAGCTATTCTGAATTTCTAATCCAGTCAAGCCTTCAGATGACTACAGACTTAATCAACATCTGACTATAAATGCATGAAAAATCCAAGTAAGAACCGTTCAGGTGAGCCCAGTGTACCGACAGGAACCAAAATTATAATAATATATTATTTTAACTTTCTAACTTTGTTTCACAGCAGTAAATATTCAGAACATCTCTCCTTATAAAAAATAAACAAAAAACCTTACTGTCTAGAGTAGCTAGCGTCTGTTTTCTCCAACTGAGAACTCCAATCAATACATCTATATTCATAACACAGCAATAAATATTCAGAACATCTCTCCTTATAAAAATAAACAAAAATAATTACTGCCTCAAGTAGCTAGAATGTCTGTTTTCTACAACTGAGAACCCCAATGAATACATCTATATTCATAAATGAAACTAGCTTCTAGTTTCTTTTGTCTGTGCTCTGCTTGTACAATTGTGATCCGAAATATAAAGCTTTTAGAAATAAAGTATTTTTGCTCCTTAATGGGTTTTAAGAATCCAGTTGCAAAATCTTTCCTAGTTTAGCAATATTTGAGAAATCTCTTTCCACCTCGTTGCCATATTATTGATTTAATTTTTTTCAATTTTTCAAATAATTTTGATAATTTGTTTCCTTGAAAAATTATTTATTAATTTTAATTTCATTTAATCTATCATCCTGTGTAACAAATAATGTAAGAAATATTTTAAATTAATAGTTCATATAATAATGAATACATACATAATTAAATTATTACACAGGATAATTTAAATTTCAATAAATTCAAATATAATAAATAAATATTAGCAATAATGTAGTAAACTTATAAAAAAATTAATTAAAAATTACTGTTTTAATTTAATAATTCAATAAATTAAAATAATTAATTTTAATTTATAATTTAAAAATAATTAATTCTACTAAAATAAATTTAATAATTTTAAATAATTAACCATTTAAATTTTCTGAGAAAATCATTTTTTTCATTGTGACTATAATCAAATCTCTTGTATAAAGTCTAATCTATTTGATCTTGTTAGAGATCAAATTAGATTGGAGTCATACACAAGATCTCATAATTTTCTAAACCACTGCTAAAACTGTAGTTGTATCCCAATTGATGTAACTAATTTCTACAATTGTGTTTCCTTTGAATTTTTTCATAATTAGGCTATAAAAAGGCTGTATCACTGTCAATGCATTTATATATTAATTGTTTAAACTTTAAATTAAAAAAATAAACAAATCATGTCATTAACAGTCCTCAGAATTCAATCACAGATAATCACTGTCAAAATATATAGTAAATCTTTACATAGCAATTCATGCTGACGTTTGCGACAAAAATCTTGGAGCCACCTTCCTCTCTTCATTTTGCACCAGTCCTCCAATATATCCTTTTGTTTCTTTTCACCTTAAAATAGTTTCCAGAATATGACCATATTTTTTCATGTCTACTCAAACCACTCTCATCTCTAATCATATTATTGCAATCGTCTTGTAGTAGCTTGACTACCTCAAGGCATATTCCCTACACAGTCAACAGAATGATTGTTTCCAAAGAAGTCGGATACTATCATTGCTTACTCAAAATTGCTTATGTACTGAAAATAGAATCCAAAGTCCACAAAACAGTTTAGAAGAGCCCTATTAATCCCTTGTTTTCTCAGATACGTGTACTTAATGTAATTCAAACATATTAAGCCCACTCAGTGGGCCTTTATACTTCCCTCTTTCCAGAATACAGGCTTCCTAGATACCATGTGGTTCAGCTTTACATTTATTAAGTCATTGCTCAGATACCACCTTGACATAAAGACCTTCCCTGATTATTTAAAATAGTAAACTCCAGTCTCTATCTCCTTACATTTTTTTCCCTTCATAGCAGTTATCACTATTGAAATATTCCATATTTGTTTATTATCTTTCTCCCCACACTGGAACATTAAAACAGAGAAGCAGAACCTTTGCTTGTTTTGTTCACTGCCGTATTCTCAATGACTATAACACATTCTATCACAAAAAAATATTTGTTGAATGAATATGAATATCTACATTTTAATTTGTACTAATATTTACATAAATGCCATTTAATTTAAAAATAACATATCATGAATATTTTTGTCATTAAATATTTACCTAAGTCATTTTTAAAAATAGGTTTATTATTCAACAAAACATGGTCTTGTTGAACATTTAGGTTACTGACATTTCCCAATATAAACCAAGCCAAGATTAATTCTAATTAAATCTTTGATCTTTCCATTAGTCTTAGAATAATTCCAAGAAGCAAATTTGCAGTTTAAGCAAAATACTTTTGGGCCTTTCATACAAATGATTATATTTTTTTCCAAAAAGATACATATACGGATACTGCTAGAAGAGTCTCATGATTAGTTTTATATTCTTTTTTCTTTTTTGAGGCGGAGTTTCACTCTTGTTACCCAGGCTGGTGTGCAATGGCGTGATCTTGGCTCACCGCAACCTCCGCCTCCTGGGTTCAGGCAATTCTCCTGCCTCAGCCTCCTGAGTAGCTGGGATTACAGGCACGCGCCACCATGCCCAGCTAATTTTTTGTATTTTTAGTAGAGACGGGGTTTCACCATGTTGACCAGGTTGGTCTCTATCTCTCGACCTTGTGATCCACCCACCACGGCCTCCCAAAGTGCTGGGATTACAGGCTGGAGCCACCGCACCCAGCTAGTTTTATATTCTTTAGTGTAAAGTAATAGGATGTCTGGTATTAATTAGGACTGGAGAAATAAAAAATTGATGGTATTTACTGAAGACATAAGAAATATAGTAAAAATTTTTTTGATTTTTTTCATAAATAGGCTGTATATAGGCTGAACTATGTATAGAATGAACTAAACCCAACTCTATGAACTAAACCCATCAGTCCAATACACTAATACACTATAGATATTATATTAGAAATATACTAAATGCATACACATGTGCACAGTAAGAGATAAGAATTTTAAGCAATTTCGTTTTCTAAATTATAATTTGTTTATACTTACAGAAAGCTTATCTGTCAGATAGATGAAAACAGTACTTACTTAAAATATCAGTGTCTTCCAAGTCCTGAAGAATGAGCTCTTCAACAGTTTTACTCCTGTTCTTTATAATGTTAATACAATGAAGAACTGACTCTGGTAATTTAACTGAATTCTAAAAAATTGAATAATAAAAGAAACTGTAAAAGTGTTTATTATCAAAATTACGTGTCAAATATTTAACCCTTTATTCCACATCAAAAATTTGACCAAAACATATAAATGAAGTCAAAGGGTTCCATATAAAGAACATATTTCAAACAAACATATTTGGCTAAAGTTTGCTTTTAATTTTCAGGTGGTTGTGCATTTCTAGAAAACCCTAAGAAAACAAATGAAAGAGTTACCTACACATCAATTTCGTTAACTTTACTAGAGGCAGTTTATTTTTGAGTGTCCTCAATAGTTGCATATATTTTTAGAATAATTCCAACTTCAAATAAATATTATCAAATATTAATCAAAACTGCAAGATTTTTCAAAACATTTAATGTAAAACTAATACCAGATATAATCATTTATTACATTCAAAACTGGCTTTGTGATTATCATACACAAATTTAGTCACATTTGTGAGCTGTTACAAAATATCTACCAATATAGCCTATGTAAATCAATTTGTAAATTTTCTAAATAACTAAATATATTGATATTTAGCAAAATGTGAAAATAAATTCCTTCCTCCATAAATACCATGATTAGTTAGAAAATATAATGCAAATAAATAATATTGATAACAACAAAATACTTGAAGCATCTAGAAATGATTTTAATAATAATCTTAAAGCTACATATATTTACATGACTATAAAATTCCATTGAGGGACCTCAAGCATGGCATGAATGAAACAAAATGAATGTTTCTGTATAGAACATGATATGCACCCGCTTTTATCTAACTAAAAACAAATTGTTTCTGCCATACTCGGTTTTCATGTGTTTAATAGGATTTTCAGCCAGTTTATTTTCTCTATCCTAATGAAATTCAGTGTTTAGTTTTGAGAATAAACATCAGAAAACAATGAGAAAAAATACCTTTCTCTTAGTACTACAGAAAAGCACATAAAATTATATGTCACAAAATGAGTCCTGATACAGTAGTGTATTAAAAATATTGACAAAAATATCAATTCTACTTTTATGACATCTGTCCTGCACTGAAATTTCTATTTCTGGTTTAATTAAGAAGTCTTTTAAGCTACCTGGATTATACAGATTATTATGTCCTGTGAAATATAATTCATAATCTCCATATCCTTAGTTAATAATTTATTCCCCTGGTTATAATATTTACATTGATTCTGAGCAACATAAATAATTGTGAGCTATCTTAATTGAAAGAAAAGGGCTTTAAAATTTTCTCTTTCCTTTAATATAAAGAGGTACAATAAAATATAATAAAATCCATTGTTCTGAGGGATTTCATATTCAAATAAAGAATTTCAGATTTTTTTCTCATTTAAATTAACTGGATAAAAGACATAATAATGTAACAAAATTAATTTTTCTAAAGCAATAGGTAGGTTTAGAGCAATCCTAAAAAAATACAGTGAAATTATTGTATGAACTCTTTAAAAAAATGTGTTTTTTTTTTTTTAAAAAAAAGCTTAGCTTAAAGCCGGGCGCGGTGGCTCAAGCCTGTAATCCCAGCAATTTGGGAGGCCGAGGCGGGTGGATCACAAGGTCGAGAGATCGAGACCATCCTGGTCAACATGGTGAAACCCCGTCTCTACTAAAAATACAAAAAAGTAGCTGGGCATGGTGGCGCGTGCCTGTAATCCCAGCTACTTAGGAGGCTGAGGCAGGAGAATTGCCTGAGCCCAGGAGGCAGAGGTTGCGGTGAGCCGAGATCGCGCCATTGCACTCCAGCCTGGGTAACAAGAGTGAAACTCCGTCTCAAAAAAAAAAAAAAAAAAAAGCTTACCTAAGATTTTAAAATGGTAAAACAATGTGAAGAAATTTGATTCATTCAATATTTTAAAATATACAACAGTAGGAAAATAATGAACACAGAAACAGAAAAAATAGCCTTGGACAGATTATATGCACAATAACTATCCATAGACATACGACAAATCAATTGAAAAAAGGCAGATTATTAAACAAGAGACACTGGAAATATTAGCTCAGTATGTGCAGAAGATTTTCAAATTAGTTCTATATTTCATAAATTTCTGAGAATAAATTCCAGCTGGATTAAGGATATTGGTATAAATGAAGAAATCTATGAATAAACTGTGTAAGCATATAAACATTGGTAAAAATAACCAAATAAAAGGATAATTTGTTTTATTCCAGAAAGTAACCATTTTGATAGGTCAAAAGATATCATATACATTTTCTTTCCAAGTAATCTGATCATGTTAAAATGTTCATAATTAAGTAAAAACAAAAATCAAAATACAAATATGTATATATTATAATCCCAATTTTACAAAGATACACATCTAGCAACGTGGAATTATAGGTGACTATATATATTCAATATAATTTACATTTACATCAATTGTTTATAAAAATGCTTCTAAAAAATGAGAAGTATACAAAAACATCCTAAGAAAAGTAGTATTTCTCTTGAAAACCCTACTCCTGTTAAAAAGGTTCAAAAGTGCAATACTTACTGCGTCACTATCATCGCTCTGGGTTTCTGATTTTGAATCACTCTCAATGTCCTCATTTTCCAAGGAGGAAATGCTGAGTTTATCCAATTCAGCTTCTATTTCTGCTTTGAGCTTTGCATCATCGTCATCCATTATTCTTTATAATAAAACACAGAACCGCTTAAAAATGAAGAGGCTCATATGTCACTAAAAATTATGTTCTCTAATTTGTCATACCAATCCAACATATTTATGTAAACATGTTTTAAAAAACTTTTATAACATCTTATTATGGTTACACCAAACATTGTTTTATCTCTTCACTCATTCTTTTTAAAATTTGACTATGAAGTGATCAACTGTAATAGTACCCTAATACTCTTATTGATTTATATATTTATATAATTGCACCATATATAATACACATCAAAATTGTTTAATAAGATTTTTTTGTTATTTATTTCAGTACACATATTTCAGTATGCATGTATGCATGAATTGCAGTGTAATATGTGTTTTGTTAATGTTCTGTTTGTTGTTTTTCACTGTTGGTCTTAGTCCCCCCAAAAATTTGAAAAAGTATTAGTCAGGGCAAAACGTTATCCAGCAATGGAACTGTAAGAGCAATTCGAAAGCTCTGTTACAAGGAAAGTTAGATTATTTTATTTCTATGCCTACAATGCAAAATGCACAGGTATATTAAACGTTATGTAGAAAGACAGGCAGAATAGTATGGTGGAGGTGAGTCATTCCCTTTATATGACTCTGTTCATTCACTGGCTCATTAGATCGTCCCTGTCCAATTACATTTTTGAACATTTATGCAAGTTTAAGTTTTCTAGTACCAACATTTTAAAAAGAGAAACAAGTGAAATTAATTTTAATAATATATTTTATTTATCCCAATACATCCAAAATATTTCAATGTGTAATCATAAAATTTATTAATATCAATGCAAAAAGTTTATGTTCTTTGCACACGAATTCTTAGAAATTTGTTGTGTATATTACACCTGCAGCACATCTCAATTAGGATTAGCTGCATTTCAAGTTTTCAATAGCCACCTGTACTCAGCGGTTACTGTATATGACGTGCAGCCATGGATGGATCTCACAGCCATGGATGGATAGGCTACATTAAAGTGCTTTAAGTTGATAACGAATCACTTGGAGTTGACTAAAGCTGTCAAAAGTAGGAAAGCTTAAGAAACTCCACCCTCAAACCCTTGTAAAGAAATGGGAGAGAAATCTACTTTATCTTTATAAGGGCATGTACATTATTTATTACAAAAAAAAAAGAAAGAAAGAAAGAAGGAAGGAAGGAAGAAGGAAGAAGGAAGGAAGGAAGGGAGAAAGGATGGAAAGGAGGGAGACAAGAAGGGAAGGAAGGAAGGAAAAGAATGTCCATTGGTTTGTGGGGCACGGTGAGTGAGTAACCACAGAATGCTCCCACAGAGCCAAGACAGCTCCTTTAGGTTTTGAGTGAGCTCCCCAAATCTCCGGAATCGAAGGGAGCCGAGAGCTTCGCAGAGTCGCGCGGCCTTCCCCGAAACCGCGGCCTCTCCCTTTCCCCGGAAGCCTGACCCTGGCAGAGAGGGTCCCGGCTCGGCCCGAGTTCCCACAGCTGCTTCACCTCCCCCGGTACGAATCCGGTGTGAGGCCCCCAGCTCACCACCCGAGCAGCAGGATTCCTCGGCCTGGCTGTGAGACAGCGCCCACAGCCTCGAAACACAGCAGTATCCATGGCAACAGCCACGCCCAAGGAAGAGAGACCGGTTTTTTTCCTTACAGGTGCTCCGAAAGGACAAACTATCTCGCTTCTAAATTGAACGCAGCATTTCAGGGACTGGATGAAGAACGTTAAGTGTTTTTACAGGTAGATTTTAATATTTAAATACTTTTGGAAAATATTTAATGAAATGAAATTTTGTTATAATTACCCAAGGTGTAACCTCATCTCTAAATTGTTTGAATTGTTTCTTAGCTACCTATATTTATTTTTCCATCTAGTGATTGCCCATATATAAGTTATTCATTACGCAAAACCTTAATCCTGAACAGTGATTTGTGGAACCTGGAAGTATAGGGGAGAAGGCAATAAGTTGTTTGCCTCCTATGACAACAGCTTTTTAAGAAAGAAAAAAATAAAATAAAAAAAAATAAAATAAAATAAAATAAAAAATCATCAATCAGTGCTCATCAAAAACCTCTGAAGGGGTGTGGGGGTGAAATTTGAAAAATTATTTTCTGGAACTATTTTACTGTAAAAATATTGACAGATAATATTTCAATATAAAGCCTTAATTTCTAAGTTTATGCCATGCTATTTAATATTAACATAATTTATTTTTTTGTGTGTGGAGCAAACATATAGTTTACAAAATGACATTTTAATTAATAACACTTTTTACTTTAGTTTTCTTTTAAAGTTTGCAAACAAGGCATTAAATTCTAAAAGGAAGTAGTAATAATTGTAAAAGATATCTGCTATAAAATAAGCTAAAAGCAAATGTTTCATTGAGCCTCTGGAAAAAAAAATAGACTTCATTTCCTGGTAACAATACACTTGAATTGCATCAACATAAGAACTAATAATATAAAGTGAGAAGTTAATAGACTTTTCATATTAAAAGCACACATATTAGGGTCCTTTTTCAGAAAGATAATTTTAAAAAATAATAAACTATTCTTGATTTCAGGTCTAATTAAATTGAGAGTATTTTCATTATCATAGTCCATGCTCAAATGGCATTTGTTCTTTAAGTTTGGTTTTATTGCTCATTTATAGACCATTAAAATTATTTATTTTTTATTGTTTTCTTAGAGGTAGTGTTTCTCTCTATTGCCAAGGCTGGAGTGTAGTGGTACAATTATAGCTCACTGTAACCTCCAACTCTGGGACTCAAGTGATCCTCCTTCTTTGGCCTCCCAAAACCCTGGGATTATAGGTATGAGCTACTGTGTTGGAACCTCAAACTCTTCATCTAAAGTAGATTTTCATATTGTCTTGAAGTTCACATGTAAGATTCTTAAGATTAGTTATATTTGTGATTACTATTCAGACTTCTAAAAATTATAAATTATTTAATAATCAATTTCAAAATTAATTTTGAATAACTGGTTTTTGTAATCAAATAATTTTGGAAATAATGCATTAGTTACTTTTCTTCATTGTTTATCAACCATGTAGCATTTAGAAGTCCATTTTAATTTCAGTCTTCCTAGAAATGGCAACTTCAGATTGATAACTTCAGATTGAGTATGCTAGTTTGCCTATGACCCTTTAACCTGAATAGACAGTTTGTTTCTTTTGAACATGTTAACTTCATTTTATTTAAATTTTGAAAACAATTTGTAGGTGTGGTTGATTTATAGCCTATTGACTAAACAATGCATATTTCCTTTAGAGAGTACATAATATATTTATTGAGAAAATGAAAGAAGGAGAGAGAATTGTTCTTTGTTATCTGACAAGAGTAGTATTTCCTTGAAAATGTTGAGTAGTGAAATCATTTTAGTTTAATACCATTTTTCAACAACTGCTTTATTGTTTATATGACAGTGATATAATTTAAATATCCCAGAATATTATTGTCATCTTCAAAATAGCTGCATAGCATGTATTTCTTTGTTTAATCTTCTTGAGACATGGTGATTATTGAGTAAAAGTACTTTAATATGTATTTCATAGTGTCACATATTATATTCTTAGACCTCTCCTTCTTTTGTACCACTTCTGTGTCTCAAGCCTTCAGATTCTCTAACTCTTTGTTCTTCCTCCCAGCAGCTGTCGTGACCAACCACTTCACATAAAATTGAGAATTTATCACCTTCCCACAGTTTCCATCCCATTCCCCATCCTCACATGCATGACTCTTGTATAATCTTAGTATTTCTATACTGAGATATGGTATAACAAGATTCATAACTTACATCATGCCGGGCATTGGGCTAAGTGCTTTACAAACATAATCTCATCCGATTTTCACAACATCCCTTTGAGGCGTGTACTATTTATTATAAGCTGCATTTACAGATGATGACACTGGGGGTTGGGGAGGTTATTGAGAGTGTGGTTTCTAGCTCTGGATTCAAATCTCATATCTGCCATTTATTAACTTAGTGACGTTTGGCAAGTAATTTTGCCTTCCTGAGTCTTTCTCTAACAAGGAATCAATTTAAATGACATATTGTAGTATATGAAGTAATGCCCAGAGTTTAATTATATAGTTTCTAAAGACTTAAGTTCCACCTTTGACTCTTTGGTTTTCCCAATGCTGGCAATTCTCTTTCCTACTACACCTCTCATATTCTGATACTGTTTCCATCCCCGTAGCCATTTTGCAGTTTAGACCACATTTTTCTCTTATGAACTAGTGCATTAGCTTTATAAATTATTTCCCTGTCTTAAGTGTATTTTCTAATTTGGCTTCCACATGTATTCCAGAATTATGGATCCCTATTACCTTCAGAAAAAAAAAAAAATCTTTAGTAAAGCACACAAGATTTGTCACAATGTTTACTGAGTCTACTTCTTTTACTTTATCTTTCATCTCTTGCCACGCTAATCCGTGCCTCCTTACATCTCATTGTAAAGCTTGTGAACATAGTGTTCCCTCTGTCTTGAATATTTCCTACCTCTCTCCCATTTTTGTCTAACTAGAACCTTCTTAATCCTTCTTCAAGAGTCCTCTCAAAATCATCTTCACTATGAAACTTACCTATTTCCTTTACTTCCTGTCCTCATCTCAACATATAATTCAGAGTCAGCCACAGGTTTTAATATTTGACTCCGTGATGTTCGCTGAGTTATTCATTTGTGTGCTTCCATCTCTTGGAACTTAGAAAGAATATAAAAAACAATAACAACAAACAATTAGAGTTTATTAAATTAAGGAAAAATTATACCTATGAATAGATTAATGATTCTAAGTTGTCCATTCCTATGGCATCTCTGCTGTTGAACCATTAATTAACTAGTCAGGAACTGAACAAAAGAAAGGACACATCCGGACCTTATCTAATTAAATTGGAAACAAATTCTCTGTTTATAGCAAAAGAAAATATAGATCTTTCACATTACAAATAATTAAATAAGAACTGCACTTAACGTATCGTGAATCTTTGTGTTGACACATCATTCTTCGCATTGACATTGTTTCCAGTATGTGGAGCTTATGGCTGAAACAGCCAACACATGACCATCTCTTCTTACCATTCTTTGTAAACATAGTCATGGGCTTCTTTGTCTTGTTGCTTGGATGCACAGTTTGTTGTATTTTAACTTTGTAACCTTGAACTACTGTTTCGAAATTACCATAAACATCTTCCTTACCACGTTGCCTACCTCTGATCTCACTAAGTTCTCACTCCTTTTGACTTCTATATCATGTAATACCATAATATGACACCATGATCTAGAAATGTCTTTCACTATTGGTTTCCATGAGATCATGCCTTGATTGTCTTCTCAGTTTTTAAAAATCTGCTTTAACAATTTCAAATTATTGATTGTGTCATTTCATTCTCTACCATCAAACCTCTGCCCATTTACATCTATAGACAATCCATGTTCTCTTTCATTCTCACCCATTACATTGGTTCTCCATGCCTTTCAAGGCTACCCATTTATCTGAACTTCATTTACAGTGCTTATGAGACATAACCCATATATATACTTTACCACTTCAATTCAATTGTGAAATATTAAATTTATAAATTTTTCTTTGAAACCATTTCCCCAATTTTTTAAATTTCCAGTGATGACTATTATTCTTTTATTTTCCCATTCTATAGGAATCTTTCTAATTGTCTTTGTTTTCTACAGTAGAGCATGTTAAAACTTTATCCAAGCTCTCTTTTTTCCTAATTACCTTTTGTAATTCCCCTTTTCTGGCTGGGCATTTTGTTTGGCCGCCACCACTCTTATTATCCTCTTTTCCTTATCTGGGGTACGTGGTTGCCTTCAACTGAAGATGCATATTGCTGTGGGACCAAGTCTGTGCTGGTGGAATATCAACAGAAGAGACGTGTACAACTTCAACATGACTTGCTTAAAAGACGCGTCCCTGAACTTACTCCTCCCCTTTTCTTTCTGCTAGCTGTAAAAGATGCCCCCAGGAGCCAATTGGGAAGCACATATTGAACAGGCCAGCGTTAGCCCCAAGTTTCTACATGATTTCCTAGAAGAGAATCGATCACCTACTTTGAACTAAGGGATAAATAAAAGTTTCCCTCTATATTTGGGTCCTTTGATGAAGCATTTCAGCTTGACCCTACCTAACATGCTAATTATTACCACATCAACACTCAAGTCCATGCCTTCAACATTTCACATCAGAGTTACTTCCGAGCTTTCGGGTTCATTAATCTCCATTCTCTTCCTTGTTCATAGACAGAGACCAAGACCTTGTGCCTATCTTTCTGTTCAGGCTGTCGGGGAGCTTTCCACATGCTGCAGTACATAGAATTTGAACTGAAAATGTAGATTTAATGCATCTTTGAAATAAACTGAAATAAAAATCAGGTAGTCTTTCTGAGTGTCCCATCAAAACATTCCAAACGTTAGAGGAATGAAGGAATAAGACAATAGGATGGAAAGTAGAAAAAGCAAATGACAGCAAAAGAATTCAAAACATAGGTAGAATATGTAACCTGTAGTGACTCCTCAAACTGAGAAGAACACTGGGAGATTTTAGGAGAAAGATGATTTACAATAAAGTAGGGAAGGTAGTACATAGACTAATG